GGGGATGCTTCTGGCTCATTGTCATCCACCTTCCCAAAAGACCTATCCAAATGGAGAAAGCTGCACCGTGGGATAGCTGCCCTCAAGGAGGTGGCCTCATTCGTGAGGGAAAGGCTGCCAATGTAAACACTCCTGATGCCTGTGAAAATACATCAGTATTCAAACCAGCACTTTGCTTTTACCAGTTCACTATCACTGGTGAAACTGACAGCGCCAAGACTCTGCAAGTGTGGACATAGCCTGCTATGGGAGAGACGTAGGTTGCAGCGGGCAACAAGTGAACTGCCAGAGAGCTGCAGGAGCTAGGGATTGAACTTGTCTTCATGAGATCTATGTGGATGGGTTCTCTATTCACACAACATGGGCACAAGCCCCTAGCCCTGAATGGAGATGGGGTGCGGATACCCTGGTGCTGGGCATGCAGTAAGGACCTGATTAGAATAGAATAGCTCTGAAACGTCAGGAATTTTAACCTGCAGAGATGTCAAAGACCACAGACCATGAGAGGAGAGAATATAGCCCACAATATGAAATCGAACTGGAATCAAAAGTGCTCCCCAGGGAGAAGATTGTGCTAATATGAGGGGGCCGTTTTTGTAAAAACTTCATCTAAGAGCATCAACAATCCACTGTTATTTCTCCCCAGGCACTATATGAGGGGGGCGTTTTTGTAAAACCTTCATCTAAGAGCATCAACAATCCACTGTTATTTCTCCCCAGGCACTGCTCTTGCTATTGGCATTTGCAGCCCCTTGTGCTGAAATGTGGCTCACTTCCATCATGAAATGTAAACGTGTAAGGAGGTGCTCCTGGCACGGTGTTCCCAGCATAGGAGCTGAAAGCCACTGCGGTGCAAGTGATCCTAATAGAATGGCAAAATACATGGCTGTCACGCAAAAATACATATGTAGCCTGTTGGTGAAGTCTGGCAGCTACTAGCTGGTGATCCTTTCCCAACATAGAATTGTTAATGGTTGTGGCAGTGCCCAGCAGCATATGATATTACCTGTAATTACTTTATCTTGGCAAAAGGACTTCTGCAGAAGAAATTACACTTAAAGCGTATGTTATACTCACATCCTGACAGCCTCGCCTATAACCACCTAAGGTCACCTATGACCAACAAGCAAATATGTATCATAACCATCCCCAGGAATAAAACAGTGTGATAGAACAGAGTGTGGGGTAAAGACATGCCAGGATGACTCAGTTCCCGAGAAACTTCCTTGGAAGTCTTTCAGGAGGCAAGAACACTATTCAAACGACAAAACAAAATACCCCAGCCTTTTCAGTGGACAGGAACTGTCACGATCCAACTAGTAAACCCAGCGGCACCCAATAATTAACATATCGCAACAGCCTAAATAAATGTTTTAAAAACCATTTTTTGGTGAATGCAATAAGGAAGAGGAAACGGCCCCTAAATGATCTAAGCATCAGAGATGCGAGACAAAGGCTCTCTGGCAATAGGGGACTCCCCGGGTCTCACATCATATGGCCATGCTCAGCCCTTACGGACTAGTCCCTTCCACTCTGACTTGCTCTTCTGCAGTCACACATTCTACATTTTCCATTCTCTTCCTTCCTTTTGTTTTCCCCTGGAGACTGCAACCCAAGCCAGAAAATTACCAAGCTAAACATGGCAGCAGAGCAACCCTCAAGTTAATGTGCTGCTGACATCTGCCCAAGCTTTAGTCTGAACATTCAGCCCATGCTGGTCCATGGAGGGTGGCTTCTTGTCTCGTGCCCACAAGTCAGACGTAGCTGCAAAGAAATTACTTGGTGCCCTCTGGTGAGAAGCTGAGCTCTGGGAATGAAAGTGAGGCAAAAATTTGCATGTGCAGACAGCACAGGAATAAATTGAAAAGAACTAGTTTGGGGCCTGAATGCTCCATTGAAGGAGCATTTTCATGTGACTCTCAGAGATGAGTGGGAGGGCAATGCTTTGACGGACCGGTAGGTAGGGTAAGTAAGGGTGGAAAAGGAGCCTTTTTCTTTTTCCTTTTTTACACTTACCCCCAACTTGGCAGGCAGCTCTCTCGTCCCCCATCTCTGTTCAAAGAAGCAGTGCATGGCGACTGAACATCTGCCTTTCTTCCTGAGGCAGACATGCAGAACCAACTCTGAAACCTCAGCCCTTTCTTTCAGTGTTGTAAATACAGGAGCCAAGGCTGCAAGTGGCACAGCTGTGAAATGTACACTCAGTAGAACCATGGAGGAGCAGAGAGCTTGGTCCTACCCATGAGGCCACAAAGAAGAGAAGTCCTGAAGTGACCTGTGATTAGTCTGGTTTTCTTGTCAGGAAATCTGAAAATAGGTGTACTGCAGGCAGCAAGTCCATGCAAAGAAAGTAAGGTCAGGTCTATACTAGACTCGGAAGGTCATCTTAAGGGACTTAACTCCATCTACATAAATAATGTAGCTGGAGTTAACATACCTTAAGCCAAGCTTGGTGCCATCTCCAGAGTGTGAAGCTTAATTGGAGCAAACACTCCCCTCAACTTCCCTTACTCTTTGTGAATTGAGGAGTATCAGCGCTGACCGCAGGTGCCCTTAGTGTTTGATTTAGCAGGTCCTTACTAAACCTGCTAAATCGAACGCCAGAAGATCGATCTCCGGTGCGGTAAGTATAGATGTGGCCTAAGTCTAAGTCTACACTGCTATTTTACTGCACTGCTACTTTCCAGCTCAGGGGTGTGAAAAAAATTCCACGCCTCCGCAAGAGCAGCACGTTATAGAGCTCTAATGGGCCAGTGTAAACGGGCTACCAGTGCTGTTAGTTACTCCCCTTGTGGAGGTGGTTTATAGCAGCAGTGCTTTCATTTTAGAAGTGTTGACAAAACTTAAGAAGTGGTTTTGCTGTGTGACCTTACTGGAAGCATTATGTGCAATTCTGGTCATCAAACTTGATCATTCTTTTTTTTTAAAGCTTAATATGAAACAGCTAAAAGCTTTGTTGTTGAAGCTAAAGGTAAAGATGAGCTTTGAGGCTCCGATAGGAAAGATTCCAATTAAAATACAAGATTCACAGGTATGTCTTCAAAGTTTCCCTAGGCATGATCTCTGCAGCAATAAGCACACCCAGTTAGGATTCTCAAGGCAAACATGGGACTACCAGTTGTACAGAGGCAAAGCATTTCCATGGAATCCCTTGCAGGTTTCTCATGTGTGATGTTATTTTCTTGGTATGGCTACAGTAAAGCAGATGATGAAAAGCAAGCATAGAACCCAATCTGGGAAGGCCAAAATATTGACCCTTTCTCAGAGATCATAGTCTTGGGAAATTACTGATAAAGAGTTTTATAACAGGTCTGTCATGAGAAGACACAGAAGATGTAATCTGCCCTGAGCAATGCAGCCTAATATGGAACTAAAGCAAAGATACCCTTCAAGATGTGACTTGGCATTGCCAAGCACCAGCTGAAAGACCTTATTGAGCAAACACACACTTGAGGTTTCTGCCAAAGAAACAGGATTAATATTCTTGAATTAACACACACACTTCTCAAAACAAGGTTACACGCTAGCACCTTTCCATTTTCCAGCATACTTATGAGAGGCAAGGCATGTGTGCTAATATTCTGTGTGCAGGAACTTGGTTCTGTTCTTAATTAGGAAGGAAAGATAAATTAATCTGCCTGTTGTTATTACCTAAGTGATATCTCCCACTGTAACTATACTAGAGCATATTCTCTAAACTTTAGATAGGGTATGACTATACTGCAATAAAAAGACCATGGCACTGAGGGCAGATCTACACAATAAGGACAGGTAGATCTAAGCTACGTAATTTGAGTTATGTTAGAAGTCTAACTCAAATCAATGTAGCTTAGATCTACTTACCATGGGGCCCACACTGTGGGGAGCCAACACAAAAAACTCTCCCGTCAACTCCCCTTACACATCTCGTTCTGTTGGCATATCAGAGTCGACAGTAGAGTGGTTGGGTGGTCGATTTAGAGGGTCTTCATTAGACTCACTAAATCAGCAGCGGTCCACTGGTGGGTTGATCGCTACAGCATCAATCCACCTCAGAGTGGAGACAAGTCCTCAATCTCAGAGCCTTAGCTAGCTGAAGGGCTCAGGCTGGGGGGCTATAACATTTCAGCATAGTTATTCAGGCTGTAGCAGGAGTTCAGGCTCTAAAACCTCCCACCTGTGAGGGGCTCCCGGGGGAATGTCTCAGAGCCAAGGCTCCAGCCCTAGATCAAATGTCCATATTGCAACTGTATAGCCCTGCAAGCCTGAGTCAGCTGGGCTAGGCCCGCAGCAGCTGTGCTACATGTCTTTTATTGTAGTATAATCATACCCTGAGGCTACATCTACACTGGCACCTTCTTGCACAAGAATTCTTTTGTAGAAGAGTTCTTGTGCAAAAACTCTTCCACAAGAGAGTGTCTACACTGCCATGTGCTTTTGCACAAGAGCATCCATGGCAGTGTAGATGCTCTCTTGCGTAAGAAAGCTCTGATGGCCATTTTAACCATAGGGGCTTATTGCGCAAGAAATTCATGTTGCCTGTCTACACTGGCCTCTTCTGGAAGAGCTCTTGCGTAAGAGAGCTTATTCCTCATGGGGAGAGGAATAACTCTTCCAGAAGAAGCCCTGTTTTACAACGCTGTACTGTAAATTTACTTTTGGAAGAATGCTCATGCAGTGTAGACAGCCGGCAAGTTTTTGCCGAAGAACGGCTATTCTTCCGCAAGAAGCTGCCAGAATAGACGTAGGGTTAGCTCTGCTCTCATATGTGTTGAGTACAGCAACTGATTTGACAGGGGTGATATTTCTCATACCTGACTGCAGGAGATATGACCTGGAAATTAGGGAAGGCTAAGTTCACAAGATTGCACTTAGAACACTTTCAGTACTAGTCTAAACAATGCATGGTCAATACAGGTCATCTCTATCCACAGAGCTTTTATTCCAAGTGTAGTTATACAGGGCTCAACAAGTTCTAAAATCCACCAGAGATATAATAATAAAAACATACAGAACAAAAATGCAGCCAAAAGCTTTAAATTCATTTATTTATTTTTCTCTTGTATAAGATCAAAGACATAAAAACCAGAACCAAACTCTGGGTACAATAGTTGGATCTGATTGATTCTGATGCATACCAGCTGTATGCAAAATATCCTAAATTAAAAACAATTGCTCACACATCATAACATACAATTAAAAAGTAAATACAAAAGTTAAAGTACTAGCACATAGATGGATGCAGTGTATTAAGAAACAGTTTGTTTCATCACCCATTTTTCCCATATCAAAAGACATTTTAAACTCTCCCAGCCCCCTAAACACACCAGCATTTGTTCTCATGATCAACCTCCCCCCAACAGTTACATTCTAATAGTGTTATCAGAATACAAGTTGTAATTAACATCCTATTACTCCACTGCCCCAACATTTATGTATGTCACACTCAGTGATGGTCAACACTACAATTGTCCCACTTGCATATTTACTGTATTTAGACAAGTAGACAATGTGAATTCAGTAAAATAAATGTAATTTCACAAACTGAAATAATAGTGAATATTATAAAAATTACAAAGACATATGCTTTTGAACACTTATACTTCTGTCACAGCCTGTTTTTAAAGTCAGAAAACTCCTTGAAAGGAGATCTTCACATCAAATAAGATTGTGTGGGGGTGAGGGAAAATGTTAGTACATATGATCCAGTGAATCCGCTTTGTAGCAAAAAAACCAAATCATATTATGGTGTAAAAAGTTACTTTAATCTTCACCATCATTTGGTTCAGAATGAAAAAAAACTTGACCTAACTTATCGGCAATTGTTTTAGAGTAGCAATAATGTGTTACCTAGCACCTTTCCATTCAATTCTGCTGCTGTATTATTATCACAGGAATATGTAAAAAATTACAAAATTTACTAATTGAAGGTTTTTGGGCTCTATTCTCTTCATGCACCTCTCCTGACTGACGCCAGTATACATTAGGAGAGGTAGGCACCAGCTTTAAAATTCTGCTCTGTGGATCTTTTGTTCTTTTATGACAAAAAAAAATATTAGCTTACTAGTAAATGCTTACATTCATTTTTATGAACTTTAATTTATAATATTGACTGAATCATGCTAGGGTTTGGATCACCCAGTGAAATTGCACTATCAAGCCCATGGCTTCAGTGAAGCTAGGCTGAACACACAGCAGTTGAAGATTTGGCCTTAAAAGTTTTACTGTCCAAAGCAGATACAATAAATCCCAAATTCTCTGACTACATAATGCCATTTTTTGTAACTAAAAGAACAAAAACCATTGGGACTTCAGATTTCCATTTATACTGATTACATAAAATACATAAAAAAAATTGATTACCATAGAGTAACATCGTTCAGCCCTGCACAGTCCCTTGTTTGTTTAGAAAGATAATTCTCCTATCTTAACGCTTAGTTCTAGTATAAGTGGAGGGAAAAAAATGTAAAACAATGCCCATTCAGCAACATTTTGTGCACACACAATACTGCCTTCTCATTCTGTATTATATGAAAATATACATAAAAACACTAGTCTTCTCTGTGTAATAGAACTTCATTGGGTAAGTCTCTCCCCTCTCTTGCTTAAAAGACAAGGCAGCTTCCGTGCTGGTGTGAGAATGTGCAAAGGTTAGTGTCTTCCACTGCGTTCATGGTGTGGTATTGTTTAAGTCAGGGGTGGGGAAACTTTTTTGGGGTTGGGGGCAATGACTCCCAAAAAAATCAGTCGAGGGCCGCACACAAAACAAACCAAACAAAAAAAAAAAAAAACCCTCACTGAGGTGACCCCCAAATGAGGAGAAAGACATTCTGCACATTCCCTCTACATACCAGAGCCTTGGGGGGCCCAGACTAGTAGATTGTGTGCTCTAGGCCCACGGGTAGATGGTGGGGGGACTGGAGCACCAGTGCAAGCTCCCCATTGTTGGGGGGTGGCCGTGATCCTTTGGGGCTAGATTCAGGCAAGCTGGGGACCACATCCAGTCCCCAGGCCTTGGATTCCCCACCCCGGTTTAAGTGAACACCATTGGTTCTTCTTACATGTATGTTCCTATCTGAAGCCATCCTTCCCTCTCCGGTACTAGTACTGTTTTCTGTTACGTAATCATTCACCTTTCTAATCTAGTCCATATTCTTGCCACTTGATCTCTGACCCTTTCACCTGCCTCTTTCCCAACAAGATAGAAAAAATTCTTTAGTGACCAATATTTTGGTGTACAGATAGGATCTTATGGATTAGACCTGACAGACAGACATTTACACTGAGTGCTACATCTCTTGCTTTCCCCAATAAACTGGGATCAAGCTCAGAGAACTGTATTAATGCCTTTCATAAAAAGATACATTTTTCCAATATAAAAAGATTAAATTCATAGATTATAAATAATAATAGTTCAAAATATTAAGAATTTCAGGACTTCATTTGCATTTCAGGGAAACTTTGCATGCTTTCTGTCCTTGATGCTTTCTCAGCCACAAAAATTCAAAAAAGAAACTTTTACAGGATATACAGTAGCTATGAGTATACAGGATATTATGTCATGTGTCTTGTATACCAACTCTAGCAAGAAACAAGGATTAGGATTTTAGCAACTTTACCAGACATACAGGCATCTGACTGGTTATCATTGATCTGATTAGGTGACCATCTCTTTCCAAGTATTCAGTTACCTGTACAGTTTCATGGATACTGTCAGTTAAAACAGTACTGAAAACAGGAAGAACAAGGCTTTTTTTTTTTAACTGAATGTGGTATTGTCAAGTTGTGACACTCTGTCCTGTCCTGATTTTTAAGTGTATTTTTGTGGTTGTCAAAGATAGAGTTGTCACAAATTAACAAAAAATTGTCTATGTATTTAGTTATAAAATTGTAGTGCTTAATAAACATCAAAATCTAAGATGCATTTTTTAAAAATGACATGTTTATAATGACTTTTTAAGGTGGTAGTTAGTACCAATCTGGTCTAGTTTACAACATTATTGTAGTGTAAAACTGTTACTACACAATTCTGCTACTTTCAAATTGGAAGTATTTATCTGGAAGCTATACAGTAATATACTGAAAAATAAACAGCAATAGTACAGTTTGTGCCTTTGCAAATCTATAATAAGGATTAGCATTATGGCTATGAAATCAGAATTATTCTGTATTCCATACTGCACAATCTTACTAATAATACAATGATTTTAAAGCTCAAAGCTCAAGTTAAATAGATAAAAATGCATTTGGTACTACTGTCATAAATATGAAGCTGCACTTTGTGATCTGATTCTGCGCAGATTTTTTTTGAACCAAGCGACCTACGTGTGGTCAACTTGTTTGGTTCATGAAGAGTTTGTTCTACCCCATGCTCTGCTACCCTGGTAACCTCTGTCCCCCCAAAAAGAAATACTCCTGTATGATCTGTAAAGGAAACACAGGCTACAGATGGGTAGAAGCAGTTCTTGGAAAAAACAAAAAAATACATATTTTATATTTAAATTACTGTCAATCAAAGTCAGGCACAGATTAAATTGACCATAAAGGTGATATCACAAGTCATTAGGGCAGCAAGTGTATATCTGAAGATTTTCAGATGCTCTGCCTCTATTTTAAGAGGGAAAGGACATGTTGGCTTGTATTACAGGCTGAATCAACACTGAATGATTACTGATTACAGCCAAGTGAGGAATGGCTCACTCTTATTGAGTACGGACTCCACATCATTGAGGATGGGGATCAGGTCTTCTGACTCTAATGTCCCGAGATCTACATTTGTTCCTGGAAGACAGTCGAGGAAATCAGGGAAACGTGTCTGTTGCGAACTTACATTCATGGGAGTCTGTGCCACAGTTTCTCCTGTAAAAGGAAAGAAAAATCATAGCAATGCACAAGCTGAAAACTGTAGGCACCCTCCCCCTCTCGCAATCATCACATGGCAGGTATCTTCTATAAACACTGCTGTCAGGCCTCCTTTGCTTACAGAAAAGCATGTCTAGAGAAGAATTTCTCTTTTGTCATGCTGTCAAAAGCACAAAAAAATCAATTTCAACTGGATTTGAATAATCAGCCACTGTCCTCTCACTCCAGTAGTACAGTGAAATCCATCCTGTGCAGAGGGCTCGTGGAGTGAAACCTTACTTAAGCACTGTGCACAGGGCTGAATTTCATTCATAGCCCATAATCCAAACTAAGGCTAATGACTCTTTTACAGGAACTTTCCTTTGAAATATTATTACTCTATTTTTTGGCTCAATTAACAAGAATGAACAGTAAAATCATTAAAGGCATGACTGTGTGTTCACTGCACACCCAGAACTCCCACTGATTCCAGGGGGTCTTGAGTGAGCAACTATTGAGAATCTCAGTGATTTCACTGTCTTATTTCAGTAACTGGAAAGAAATGGTGTGTTTACTAATCATTTACATTAACCTTTTAAACAATGTGATGATAGGAATACAAAAAAACCCACCAGTTTCTAAATGGTCTATACATATTGTTAGAAGGAAACCCCCAGGGAAATTGTTCTTCTCAGGAGCCTGTTCTCATGACACAATGAATTCCCACCAAACTAGACAATTTAGAGATTTGGAAAAGATAAAACCAATTCACCTAGGATTAGATTCTGCCATGCTTACTCGTATGGCGTTGTACCTCCCTGGTCCGGCACCCTTGGGACCAGGGAATTTGCTGGACCAGGGGAGGTCAATGCAGTGTGTGTGGGGGGGTCCGCTCTCCCCCAGACCTCCCAGGGGCTCCGTTTTTCCATAGGCAGTTCCACTGCCACCCAGGGCTCTGCACTCCCTACAGCACCGGGGGAGGGATTTCTTCTCCCCCTCTCCCCCCCGCCCCGTCCTCCTGCAGCTTAGCTGCCGCTTGGGGCTCCACTCTCATGCTGGGGCTCCACTCTCCCCGCAGTGGCCAGGGACTCAGCTGCCATCTGGAGCTTCATTCTCTCCCCAGTGGCTTCGCTGCCACCCAGGGCTCTGTGCTCCCACTGGTGGCTGGGCACTCAGCTTTCTTCCCAGTGGCTCTGCTACTGGAGGCTCCTCCCAGCAGCCCCGTAGGTTCTGCATTCCACCAAAGAGCTCTGCTGCCACTTGGGGGCCCTGTGCTCCTCCCAGCATTTCTGCGATCCTCCCTAGTAGCCCCGCAGTGGCCTGGCAGACTCTACACTCCCCTCCCAACAGCTGTGCTGTTGCCCTCAACCGTGACAGGGAGCTATGCCCCGGCCCCAGGACCAGGGGCTCTGCATTCCTCCCGCTGACTCTTCTGCCCTTGGGGCTCCATCTTGGCCCCCTAGTTTGGCAATGCTCCTGGCCCCAGCCCAACGGCTTATCCCCTTGATTGTCCTCACAATCGGGGTCAGCTGACGATGCCGGACCAGGGGTGTTGCCAGAGAAGGGAACTCCAGATTACAGAGTTTCAACCTGTACTTTAATCCCTGAAGAATTCCACTGATTTAGTGGAGTAGCGTATTAGGCCAAACGAGTACAGGAAGAATCTTGTTCTCAATCCCTACAAATCAAATCTGGGTGAGACACATAAGAAATGCTTCTAAAACTCAACGGCCAACTTTTGGGCTATAGCTTCAATTTTCTCTCAGGGAGATTTCCCACACAACTCTCCATAGTGACATATGAAAAACAGAGATCCTTATTGTGATCCATTTTTCAAGTTGGCACTAAAAAGCTTGATCCTATGTTCCTTGCATGCCCCAAATTCCCACTGAAATCAGTGATTAATGAGATCAAGAAAGCTGAGCAGAAGGGAGCCAGTTGATCCTCAAAGATGCAAAACTGGGAGCTTGAACTGGGTGCTGTTTGTACTAGGGGTGTTAAGGACTAGTCGACAATCCGATAAGCAAATACTTATCGGATAGTCAGTCGACTAGTCAATTTCTCCCCCTCCCCCCACCCTTGCTACCTCTATCAGATAGAGGCACCAAAGGGGGGAGAAAGAGATGGTACTTCAAAGGGGCAGCGCCACATAGCTGATCCCGAGATCAGCTGTGCAGCGCTGCCCCTTTGAAACACCACCCCTTTGAAATGCCTATTCTGAAGTTACTAATATTATTAACAGAAAAACTGTCAGCAGAGTTCACTCTAACAGTAATGACAATTTTGCATTAGCATGATCAGGGAAACAGCAGCATATTATATTCTTTACTATAAACAGAGTTTTACTGTATCAGATTCCACTGTAGGCAGTTGAGTGGTGTACGTTTGCTAGAAGTTATTTATTCTGTGATAACACTCACAGTCCTCAAGCATGGATTAGGGCCCATTTTGTGCTAGACATTGTAGAAGTGCAGCACTGTACTATGTTATATTAATTTTTCAACAGTCCTACATACATTTAGGTTGAAGGCTTTCAAAGCCACCTAGGGGATCTGGCTGACAATTTTGAACTCCTGCCCTTAGCATCCAGCTCATCATTCCTTGCATACTTCTGAGAGTTGGGAGGGCAAGGAATGCAGGACTAGGCTCTCAACTGGTGCTGTATACTCCAACTGTATCTTAAATTAAAGCATATGTTTATAAGTACTGGGTGAAATCAAGGCTCCAGTGAAGTCAGCTGTAAAAAGTCCATTTATTTCAATAGGAGGAGGCTTTCCAGTAGAGACAATACTCTGCATGGGCCCCATTCTATGAAGTGCTGTACACCTTTAACGAATGTTAGCATCAGTGGGAGTGATGGCTTTGAGCACCCTGACCTCAGTCTATCCCTATATATGGAAGGATGAGAGATTATTGCTCATTTCACATAGTTAGACATTTGGTTATAAAACACAACTTTTGCTTAACATGTCATAATAAGTATATTCCGTGTTCTTACCTGTATCCATCTCATCTACATTGCTGAGGAAATCTTCAGGGGTGGTTGGTATACTGTAGCATCCTAAGCCTAGGCCACTGTCTGTGCTTTGTTCCCTGGAATGGTATGGCCCACTATGAATTGAAACATGAAGAAACCTCAGTAAAGATATTCTTGTCAGACATAACCCCTTATGGTGGTGGTAGAGAAAAGGAGAATGACAGTCCAAACACTACACTTAAAAACTTTGTAAGGGGGGCAACACGTGGTCATTTACACTAATCCACAATAAGAGAACTAGGCCCAACCTATATAACATTTTCAGCTATATCAGAAACTGTCAGGCAGGCATTTTCAGAGCAGTACATTGGCTTTGGGTACTGTCTTCCCCATACCAAAGTGTAAATATGCTTTGATATTTAGTCAGGCTTCAATATGGCCTCTAGTACTGCAGAGACAATTTTGTTTCTGAAGCTGCACCCACCTGAAGATTTGAATACATGACTTGTGAATGTAGCTGGGATTTTAAATGGGTGCAACCGTAAACATGAAACTCAGCGTATGACTGGAGAAAGGGCGGAGTTTCAGGAGAGCGTGGGAGGGGCAGCAGTCGTGCATACCAGGATGCAGCGTGCTTTTCTTCCTGTTCTCCTGACGTTAAGGGAGTGAGGGGAAAGTACTTGGAATCCATGCACACCTCACTCCTGGCTGGTGAAGGGAGGGAGCAGAGGAGTAATTCACAGATTCCAAGTACTTTCCCCTCGCTCCCTTATCGAAAAACAAGCCACGTCCCGGTATGCATGGCTGCTGCCTTTCCCCCACCCGATCTCTCAAAACTCCACTCTTGAATTGGAAGCCATTTTTAAAAGTGGGCAAGGGGCTGCTCCTGCTCTATGGGGCCTGCTGTAGACGAGGGCTGCTCCGGGCATCCAGAGAAACTCCTGTCTGTGGTGATCTAGGTGTGTCGCAGGCAGGGACTGCTCTCACCAGGCTGGAGCGGTTCTTGCCTGCATCAGGGACTGCTCCCGCCCAGCCGTGGTAGGGTCTGGGAGCAGGCAGAGCCAGCCCTAGCCCCAGCCCCAGCCCTAGCCCCAGTTTGGGGCTGGGAGCTGGAATCCAGTCCCAGTGTGGGACTAGGAGTGGGAGCCCTGCAGGCTAGCAGGCTGGAGTGATGAAATCCCACTTAGTTGGTTAACCTTTTTATCTAAGGTCCTCTTCTACTGTCTGAAGTATAAACAAAGTTTTCATCACACCTGGTCTCTCTCACTGGACAGTACTACTGTCCATATAATTTTCACAAGATAAATGTCTGAATGGTTAAGATGTGGCCAGTTCCTTCTTGAGATGAATCCCAAAGTTTTCAGAGTTTCACTAGAATTTTGTCAACCCTTAAAAACTTTGAGAATTTAGGAGTTCACTTGGAAATGCACCTGCAAAGCAATCTGTACCACAGATAAAACAACAGAACCAAATGACCGATGAAGAGAAAGGACGTTAACTTGCCTGTTCAGAAAAGGATCTGATCCATTATTTGTAATTGTCCTCATGTCTTGTGTCATGGCAGGTGTGTTCACAGCAGTCTGAACTGGGGCCATATTCTCTGATTCCATGGGAAGCTGTCTGCATAGTGCAGCTTCCTAAATAAAAAAGAATAAAAAAGAGAGTAAAAAATAAGGGAAAAATTATTTGAACTACTCAGAGACATGGCAGTGAAGTGCTCTTACATCTGAAATACCCATTCTGATACTAAGTGTTCACCATGCACTTGTTTTTACTTAGGCAGTTGATTCCCAACACTATAATTATGGTTGCTGGTTTAAAAAGTCATATACTGGCTACAGAGGCAGATGTTCTCCAAAGCTATAGACATGGGGATAGGGGAGTGCGTGAGGTCTCCTCTGCCCACCAGCGGCACGCAGCAGCTGACAGCTGTTCAAAACAGCTGGCGGTTCCCTCTACACATCATGTGACCCTGGCAGGATATTGGTGCATGAAGTCTCCTCCCAGCACCAGGGGCACAAAAAGGGGTGGGCAAGACAGCATCCGTGGGCTGAATTCAGTCCGCCAAGCCGGTTGAGCCCTTGACTGCCCTGCTGCTCCCCTGCCCCCAGGACAATCGAGGCCTGGAGACGGAGGAGTGCACAAAGTCTCCTTCCCCTGGCACCAGAGGGAACCGTCAGCTGTTCTCGCTGGGCACGGGGTGGGGGAAGGGGCGGGCGGGGAGGGAGAAAGGAACAAAGACTTCATGTGCTCCCCTATCCGCAGGCTAATCAGGGTCTGCAGGCAGGGGAGTATGGGAAGTCTCCTGGCCCCACCCCTTCTACCCAAGACTTTGCCCATTCTGGGGCATTCTGAGGGCACTTCAGAAATTTGGAAAGTGGGCCCCCCTTCAAAAATGATTGCCCACCCCGCTATAGACTAGGGATGTTAAAAACTAGTCAATTACACACCCCCTTGCTGCCTGAGGGGTACTTGAAAGTGGCAGCGCC